TTTACGTAACTAACAACAATTTTTTTCGAAGTATGCAACTCATTTGAAAAGGGGTGCAGTAGTTAGTCTCAGTACAGTGCGCTGCAGCTGCAGTCTCGGCTAAAAATATATTCAAGTTGGCCGCGCGAAGTATTGCTTTAAATAAAGCCCATGAGATGACGCCACAGTGTCAGTATTGTTCAAGTAGACGAAGTTAATTCTAATTTTGACGTCATAGATGGAGGAGGGAATGACGTGATACTATAGTGTACTAGAATACGGGTACACATTTGCGGGTGCAGCATTTTGTCCGCTTTCAAGAGATCTGTACGCACTTCAGTTTCTTACGACCTTATTGATCTTAGCTCGTCACTACTGGTCACAGATATCGGTGTTTCAGATTGTAGGGCAGTGTACAACGACGTGTACCCTGCTCTCTTTATTGGGCGCATTCACGGGGCCCCAAGGTGCATTCGTGCCAATACATTTTCGGTTGGTTCTCTGCATGACGACGGTGACTCCTACACCTAGTCAGCTGAAGCGCCTTCGCCTCACGACGAGGCTTCGTAATAAATCCAGTCATGAGAGGGTTGCCACAGCTGATGGCGGCCGGTTTAAACGAACCAAACAAAAAAGATAAAAAACAGCAAATATGTATATACAACCCACGGGCGTAGCCAGGGGGAAGCACAGCAGGCCCGTGTCCCCCCACTCCCCGGGAATGTTTTTTCACCACGGCGTAGAGAGTGGAAAATAACCATTTTAAAAGTAATTGAAGTGCCCCCCCCCCCCACCCAAAACAAAAATATTTCTGCGTGCGGCCTCAAAACCGTCCACTCAACTTCTCGCTTGTTAGCGCGCTAACGAACAGCTGTCAGGATGGCCGAGCGGTCTAAGGCGCCAGACTCAAGGCACTGCCTTGCCCTTGATAAGGGCTTGGGAATTCTGGTCCACGAATGTGGGCGTGGGTTCGAATCCCACTTCTGACACAAATTTTTAATTATCTGTTCTTGTTTTGTTTTTTAATGCCAAGAAGGTGGTACTTTTTTAGGCTACAAGAACACATTGCTTCCGTTTCAGGGGTGAAATGACCACGCCGTGTGTGGTAGTGCGTGTGCTATATATATTATATATATATATATATATATATATATATATATATATATATTATATATATATATATATATATATATATATATATATATATATATATATATATATATATAGCTTCAACGAGGCAATGTTGCGAAAATATGAAAAATACATTGTGGAATTTCTTACGTCACGCACGGAGATTATAGGGCGAAATTCAAAGGTGAAACTTCAACCTGGATTTTCGCCGCTAATAAGGGACCTTACGACAGTGGAACTTATGACATTGGAGTTCTGAATTCTTTCTCTTTAGTGTCCCTTTAAAACGAACGACACGGGACCAAGAAAGTTGTGTAATAAAGTTCCGTTGCAATGAGCGCTTGTGGTGTGTGCTATCTTTCCTGATCCCGTGTCGTTTATTTGCGCTCAAAGTTATGATTAACGCATATATATATATATATATATATATATATATATATATATATATATATATATATATATATATATATAAGGGAAGAATTGTATACCTAAGGGCTCGTTTTTCCGTGTTTTTTAACACAATAATAATGAGATATAACAGACAGTAATGCCAAGGAATGTACAGGGGAAGTTATTAACATTAATGGAATGTAAATAAGAAGAAAGAAAAGTGGATGAAAAAATTACCAACTGTAAGCAGGAATCGAACCTACGACCGAAGGTCGTAGGTTCGATTCCTGCTTACAGTTGGTAATTTTTTCATCCACTTTTCTTTCTTCCTATTTACATTCCATTAATGTTAATAACTTCCCCTGTACATTCCTTGGCATTACTGTCTGTTATATCTCATTATTATATATATATATATATATATATATATATATATATATATATATATATATATATATATATATATATATATGCGTTATATATAACGATGACGTCAGTTGGGCAGAGCGTGTCTGACGTCATCGTTTCCACCTGTTCTGATTGGCTGTGGAATGCGCAGCACACACTGCCGGTATCGGATTGGCGGCGGGATTTGGGCGTGTGCGGTATCACGCCACATCGTGACTGAGGCGCCGTGAAGGCGGAGCTTAGCCCCGAGCGCTTGAAGGAAGAGTGGAGGGCAGTTGAGAGTGAAAGGTGAAGCGGAGGGGAAGGGTATTTTTTAGTATACTCGTAGCTCCGTTAATAATGGGTGTTTCGATTGAACTCTGGGGCCAATGATTAGCTTCAGTAGTGGTCTAATCAAAAACGGAATGTGAAAAAAGCATTTCAGGGACCCTTTAAGTGACCAGACGTTTTTGGGGTAGAAGCTGTTTTAAGCGCGGAGCACTTTAGGGAGGCAGGCTGTCGTGCACTGTCGTCGTCGCTTGGCACGTATAGAGAGAGAGAGAGGGAGAAATGAGTAACAGAAAAAAGACAGGGTGGTTCACCTGGTAGAAGAACTGGTTCGCTACCCTGTGCAGTGGTGGGAAAAGAAGGGCCGAAAAGAAAAGAGAGACAAAATAAATAAACAAAAAAAGAATACACACGTGTACGTATAACATAGCCATTTGTAGCGCGCGCTCGTGCCAGTGAGAAGTCTTCCTCTTGTTCTTCGAGAGCCATAATGATTTTAACGCAGGCGAAACCGCATATATAGCAGAGTCATCTGCAGCATATTCAGCGCGATTGCGCCAAAGAGAAAACAACGTCCTCTTGTTCCTCGAGTGCCTTGATGATATCAAGTGCGAAGCACTTTAAATAAAACCACTTATAAAGGATTGGACGAAAAATAGAAATAAAAAGAAATAGAAAGGAAGACAGAAAAACTGAGAATACAAAAGAAAGAATGAGGGAAGAAAATAGAGAAAGAAAGAAGGCTGTCCAGCTCCGCTGTTCCTTCATGCTTGGCACCATGCACTAGTGCGAAGATGGCTTAACTTTTCATTCATTCATTCAGTCGGTTTGTCAATCAATCGTTGTGTCACCTGCCTAGTGATAAAAATTCACAGCATATCCACGAAGTGATTGATGATGAGTGGGGCAAACCAACCGTCCGTCCATCCGTGCTTCTGTCCATCCGTCCGTGCTTCTGTACGTGCAGGACACACGTACAAACGGATAGACAGACAGAAGCACTGAACGCACGGAAGGAAGGATGGATGCATGGGCAGACGAAAGCATGGACGGACAGAAAGACTGGATGGACGCATGGACGGACAGAAATCACGGGCAGATGGACGGACGAGCGAACGGATGGGCGAACGCACGGACGGATGCTTCACCCCATCACCATCATTCACTTCATGGATATGCTGTGGAAACCACTAACGTCATCTAGTTATATTATTCTGAAGGACATATACACAAAACGCCATCTATTGAGCAACTCTTAAACTAGAGGTGGCTACATACTTCCTACTACAGAGGAGGGACGACCCACGGCCTAAGAATATCCACCCCTAAAGTGTCCATAAACAAGACGTGTGCACTCGAGCCTACGTTTCGACTAGTCGACTTGTCTTCTTCAAGGCTGGAACAGTTGCAGCCTTGAAGACTCTATTTGTGAAAACGTAGCAGGCATTTGATCGGAACCAATTTAAGCGTTTTTTTAAATATTGTAATCATTTGTTTAAAAGATAAAATGGAAGGCTCATTTTCTTGAAACAATACTTTTTGTTGCTCTAGTTAGAATAAAGCTATTATGATAGACAGCTGAACTCTGTCACATAACCAAATAGAGCACGGGGGCTTTTCAGGAGGACCAAAGGCAAGTAGGCCTCTGCGATCGGCTCTCTCGGCGTGCCGATGCGCGCTCATAATTATCTGTGAACTTCGGGTTGTCATGCACTGCAATGGCTTTCTGCTCTATCATACTAGAGTACCAAGTACTCTCAATTGTCAAACGCTTTTTCTAATCGCTTTAGCGATATAAGAAGAAGCGCTGAGTACAGTTCTCTTGTAGTAGAGCAGGGGAACAACCTGAATGTGGAATCTTGAATTTGTGATTGACTTGTTCACATTGCAGAAAATAAGTAGCCGGTTTCATTTGCATAATCATTCTTTCAAATGCAATATATTACCGTGGTCAATTACAGCCCCAGAAAAGCAGCTCTGCAATTACAGACACGCAATCGATTACTTTAGCGTTACAATACTTCAAAATTCCTTATCCGTAGCACGATAACACAAGTTTACTCAAGCTACAATAAACTACTGGAACTTGCATGGTCGCAAGAAGGCTGGAGGCTTGCGTGAAAGTGGGGAGGCTTACTGTGGTTTCTGCAATATATAGTTTTACACGTTAACTTTCAACAGCACTTGTCTCACGATGTTGTCGTCACTAATTTTCCCTCGTAGTTGAGAGGTCACCAGCCCATCGAACACTGTCAGTGCATGCGCTGAAGGTAAGGGCGGTACTATAACCAGAGCTTTTCAATACAAAAGTACTGAACGACTCTGGTACAACTTAAAAGCACCTTTCATATTGGCACGTAAACGTGAGGCGTTGCAGGTATAGGGGTAAAAAAACGAAGAGATAAAAAAGTGGGCTCTCCGGATATGAAAGCCTATATATATATATATATATATATATATATATATATATATATATATATATATATATATATATATATTATATATATATATATATATATATATATATATATATATATATATATTTATGAGATCTAACAGACAATAATGCCAAGGAATGTATAGGGGAAGTTGTTAGGCCAATTGTAATGTAAATGTGAAGAAAGAAAAGTGAGTGAAAAATAACTTGCCGTGGTTCCTGCTCACAGAACCATGGCAAGTATATATATATATATATATATATATATATATATATATATATATATATATATATATATATATATATATATATATATATATATATATCCTGGGTAAATATAACTAGCGTACGAGAGTGTCGCAGAAAAGAAATCTGACAGGCTACTCACCGCTTCTTGTTGCGTATTATCTTGAGCGCGACGTGCTCCTTGGTCTTGTGGTCGAATGCCCTGATGACCTGGCCGAAGGAGCCCTTCCCGATCACCTCAAGAATTTCGTAGCGGTACGCGATGTGGTCATGCATCACCTGCACATCACACGAGGGAAAAGACAACATGTGGCTTTAGCAAACTTGTGCATCGCGGTTTTATTCTTTTTCTTGTGGTCACGCACAACATACACCAGCGTATACCTTCGTGGTTTTTCTTTAAGTGAGAGGAGGGTGCTAAACATCACGGCTGTTGTGTAACTGGCAAGCATTGTGCGTTGTCTACTTCGGTACTATAGGGCTAATACTTGGGTAAACGTCGCAGTATTCATTATAATGCTAGGGGTTGACATATATATGAAATTATGCGTTAGTACATATACTGAGATATCACCAAAAGGGCGAAGCATTGAATGCAATAGAAACATATTCGAATGTTTTACGAAGCAATGCTAGCATTTTTAAGAGTAATAATAATTGTAGTAAACATGCGCTTGCTTAAAGTAACTACGTTTCCAGCGGCGCGGCCATAGTGGATGACCACAAAAAGGCTAGTGCGTAGTGACGGCGTTCATATACGAAGTGAGGCTGGCAGTCAACTCATTTAGATCCGATCTCGCGTAACCCTACAAAACGCTGGTATAAGAGAACACGGCTGCTCCAGGTAGACTTTTGGCACCGTTTTTTCGTGTTGAGAGCACAGCCCGTAGAAGCTCCCGCCTGCTGCGGGGGCACAAGGCGCGCGCTGATCGTTGCCGCGATTGCGCGGCAACCATAAGCGCCCTCCCCTCCCCTTGTCCGCTGGCGAGATAAGTGCGCGCGCAGACGAGCCCGGCGGAAAAACGACGTTCGCTCCGCAGAAAGAGGAGACTAGCGCATCCTTCCGCGTTTATATATGCATACACGTATACGAGAATGACGGCGGCGGCAGCGTGACGGCAAAAACCAGCCGAGACTGTCCATATAGTTGCGATCGCAATAAAAGGTGTACATGTGAACACTTTATGGCAGTGAAGTACTGCAAGCAAACTACACAGTCATGTCATGTTATTTCAGCGTGTTTTAGTGCTATTATCTTTCTTTCTTTCTTTCTTTCTTTCTTTCCGTCTTTCTTTCTTTTTGCCGATAGTTCATATTGGGCACTATTGAATTTTTTTCCTAGAGAACTTATAAATATGGGGTAGCCGAGCTCATATGGACCTCAACCTCTCCACAGCAAAACAGAACAAAACAGAACAGATAGTCATTCGCCTAATTAACTCAATCCTGTTATTTATTCCATCTTCTGATTTTCAGTTATATTACTGGGCTATTTCAAGATATACTGAAGTAGTGCTCTTTCCTCAATTTCCCTTCCCATGGACAGGGTAGCCAGCCGGAGATCTCGTCTCCCTTTTCCTCCCTCCTTCCCTCTGTATTGCTGTGGCTAGTATGCAGGAACCGTTCGGACTAAATCACTCGCTGTGCTACTGTCTTCATTTACGTGTGATACATCCCCCTTACCCGCTTGCCTTCTCCGGGGGTAACTAACTGGATTCCCAGCGAAGGCAAGCGGGTTAGGGGGAGACAGAATGTTAGGTGGGCAGATGATATTAAGAAGTTTGCGGGTATAAATTGGCAGCAGAAAGCACAGGACCGGGTTAACTGGCAGAACATGGGAGAGGCCTTTGTCCTGCAGTGAACGTAGTCAGGCTGATGATGATGATGATGATGATGATGATGATTATGATGATGATGATGATGACATGACAGACTCTGGTCCCCCTGAAGGAGTCTGTGGCAACGCGTGCGCTTGACTATGATCCGTACTTGGTAACTTTTGTGAGAACGAGTAGCGTGCCTCAGGGAAGGCAAACTGCACACTGTGATATGTTATCTACTGTTCACTGTAGAGAGAGAGAGAGAGAAGAAGGAAGGCCGGAGGTTAACCAGATATTGGCATCTGGTCTGCTACCCAACACTGGGAGTGGAGAAATAGGGGCAAGAAAGAGGGGGTAGATAGAGAGAGAGACAGAAAAAAAAAACGCACGTGCACTCATGAGAAAACGAAAACACACACATGAAGGGCGTTCTGGCTACAGCCGTTCAGAAACGCCGGTCGATCGCAAAAAGTGCAGTAGCGCTTTCAGGGCCTTAATTCTTCCGTGAAGTTGCATCTTGTCGATATTGTAGAATTTTTTTTCCTGCGACAGAGGTTGATTATCTAATTTGCTGAGTTCCTTAAATTGCGTCATGGTTACGTAATCGTATCTTGCTATGTATATTCCTTGTCCATCTCCACCAAACCCTCAATGTGATTTTTCTGAGTAGCAGGAAACATGGACCTGACACACACACACACGTGTGTGTGTGTGTGTGCGCGCGCGCGCGTGGTGTGTGTGTGTGTGTGTGTGTGTGTGTGTGTGTTGTGTGTGTGTGTGTGTGTGTGTGTGTAAGCTACCACAGTTGAGACATGCTTGACTCGTATATAGAGATGCGAAATTTCCGGAAACTTCCAGCAGTCGTAAAAAACAGTCTTTTACACGCTTTTTCTAAAAATCTTGAAAAAAAATCTCGAAAAAAAAAGAAAATAACGAATTTTCTTTGCCATATGGCAATATTTTCTTGCCATATAATATTAGTTTATTGCCAAGTGTCAAAAGATATAACTTTCATTATAACTTTCACGTTCAACGCAGGGTGTTGCCTAAGCTTTATTTCCTTTCGTTTTACCCCATGGAAATTTCGGCCAATTTTTCTAACTGCGCGGCAAAAGAGCGAGACAAACAGTTTTTTTTTGTTTCAAAATTTTCTCATTTTTTAATTCGCACTTCGCATCTCGAGGGACTTCGAGAAACATTGTCACGGCCAGTCGTAGGTTTCGATGTCACTCCGTTTAGATCAGCGCGTTTCCCTGCACGTGCCAAGGCTTGCTTTCGTCGCTCGACAGACATGAATTGCCAAGCCCGACGAACGTTTTCGTGGCGTGCTTGTTGGCGACTCGAGAAGACAGCCTTTTTCTGTGTCCGTGAACTGCAGCGTGGATATGTGATGCCTTTTGTGCACTGGATATCCGCAATCTCTACGGCTGCAAATCTGAACGGTTGTGCGATGCTGCGTGGCGAATTGTCGCGGTGAAGGGACCAAAGTTGCGAGTGTTCTCGAAGGACAACCGAAGAACAAAATGGAAGCGTGTCGTTCGTCAAGCTGTCGTCGACGTCCGTTTCCTTCGTGACCCTAAGGTACGTGTGTCCATGCAACATATTTCTAAGTCGTTTCAACGGCCCCATCTCCACCATGTTCCGTTCTTGCTCGAAAATGAAGGTGTCATGTGTGCTTTTGGCTTGTTGGCGTAAGTCCTGGCATTAAAATAATAAATGCGCGTAGCAGTATGTTTCCAGAACAGGCGTTTTTCCTTCAGGGTAGGTGAACATATTGCTGTTAGCGATTAGTGCCGCGGACTTGTTCACTCCTTTGTTCACTTTATTGAGAAAAATAGAAGGGATGTGGCTTCATTACTTAGTGCATCGGTTTTGTGCATAGTATTTTCTTGCCGGTGTTCAGCCACTTTATTGCGGTATGATAATTTTGCGCCAGTCTCGTCAGCACCTTAGCCTAATATGTTTCATTGAAACTTAGATGCGTGTAGACAGACAGACACTTACGGTAAAGCGCTTTTTAATTGATTTTTCAGGTGTGTGAACTCTACTTCAAGCTAGAATATTTAACAACCACTACCGAAAACATTCCGATCCAAGAACCGACAGTGCAGTGGAAGCACCCACGGGGGCTACATGGTTTAATATAGACCCAGCACTAACAATTTTCCCAGGCGCTAAGTTATATGACTGACCGACTACGCACCACTGCGAGAGGGGCCAGAGCAAAAGAGAAAACGCCGCTCCTTGTGTCGGTCACAAGAGATGTTCTGAAACGAAAGCTTTTGTTTTCTCTTGAAATGATGAAAACCTTGATGTTGGGCTGAAAACATATTTGCGGCAGCAGCACACACTCTCCTCAATAACTACGTGTCTATGAAGACAGGTGTTCAAAAGAGTACAAATAAAACAGCACGCTAATGAGCAGTAAGAGTTTCTCTGCATGCTCTAGATATTGTGTGTGTTTGTAAAAAATAATAAATAAAATTTACCTTATTTATTTCGTCACTTTTTTGGTCCAACAAATTTCGCTCTTATAGATCGATTACTCGTTCGATAGCACACAATCTTTTACTTTTTCCTGGAAGACATGGCTCCCAGGCGGATCTCTAAGCGCTTTCAAGCACAGTACATTACTTAAACCAGCGTCCTCTTTTGACCCAAAAGTCAGAGTAAAGCTGTTAGGTCTGTAAAACTCGCCGCGAACGCTTACCCCCGTATTCACAAACGCTCCTCGACTTGACTTTCACCCTTCATTCGCAGAGTTGTGCACTGCGCCGCTGCTTGGTTGAAAATGACGCTGCGCTACTCAAGAATGGCAGCAAATTATCACTGATATGCAGCGACTTTCCCTGCCCAGAGATGGCACTCCCATCGGCTTTCTGGAGGGGCGTTCTAGAATATGGGGGTTAATCTTTGAACGGGAGACGACGGTGGCAGTGGATTCACGGCCTCCCGTATATACGCGCGCTCGCTCGGGCCAAACGAGTGACGTCACGGCGGCAGTGAGCAGGCCTGATAATATTATTCTAGGTGCCATTGGCCCAGTGTACGGACAAGAACCAAAACGGCGCTATTTCGCTCTCACTTATCAGCCCAGTTTCGCCGTCATCGGCCGATAGCCTGCGGCGAAAGGTGTCAAGAGATCAATAAATGCGCGCGCTTTGTTCAACGCTTATCGCATTAGTGCATGCGCACTTGGAAACTTTCAGATAACGGACGCTCTTGCGTCTCGATAACAAATATAAAGTGTGACGGATAACGTGATTTCGTCTGTCCAGTTTTCATACTTCTCTCACTTCGCTTTGCGTTCTAGCGCTGCTGTCGCAGCAGTGAGATCGTGTGCACGGTGCCTGTTCGCAGACTGCTTAATTCGCATGTAATCTAGTCTCACATGTGTGGGATCTGCCGCAATTTTTCGAGTGGAATCACTAACCTGTGTCCTGTGTTCTACGCAAATTA